ACACACACAGACAGACAGACTTACCCTCCCACTACCACACACACACACAGACAGACTTACCCTCCCACTACCACACACACACACACACAGACAGACTTACCCTTCCACTACCACACACACAGACAGACAGACTTACCCTCCCACTACCACACACACACAGACAGACAGACTTATCCTCCCACTACCACACACACACACACACACAGACAGACTTACCCTCCCACTACCACACACACACACACAGACAGACAGACTTACCCTCCCACTACCACACACACACAGACAGACAGACTTACCCTCCCACTACCACACACACACACACAGACAGACAGACTTACCCTCCCACTACCACACACACACACACACACAGACAGACAGACAGACTTACCCTCCTACCCCCGCCGGCCGGCTGTGTTCTGGGGTGGTGCTCCTGATCAGGATGAGCAAAGACGTGGATCTCCTGGCCGCGGTTCTCGCTACGATCACACGCGGGTAGTTCCGGCAGCTCTGACGTCACTTCCTGGTTCCGCAGGCCCTGACAATAGAGCATCGACAAAGCTTACAAACCGGTCCGTTGTTTTTTTAATGGTTTGATTACCACTGAGTGGACAGAGGAACTGAACAAGCTGGCAGGTGCGACAATAGACTTTGGAAGAAAGGACAAGGAGAAGCGTTGATGACAGACACTAGTGAGGCATCCTAGTCAAATCAGGCATTCTGCAAAATAAGGAAATCCAAGAAATCGGCATTTTTCTGCCAGTTTGACAATTTGAATTGAATTCTTGTTTTTTTTTTTGGCTCAGCACCTTTTACGCCCCTTTCAAAACACATTTCTTGGTGGATTTGACGGAAAAACGTTGAATAAAGGCACAACTTCTTGAGGGCAGCAATACCATTCCCCTGAACGTCTACCCATGAAGTTACATCAAGATGTGACAGACAGCGAGGAATTCCACTCCCCGTGACAACACACAATCTGGACCAGAGAGATCACCTTCCCTCACCTGACCAGAGAGATCACCTTCCCTCACTCACCTGACCAGAGAGATCACCTTCACTCACCTGACCAGAGAGATCACCTTCCCTCACCTGACCAGAGAGATCACCTCCACTCAACTGACCAGAGAGATCACCTTCCCTCACCTGACCAGAGAGATCACCTTCCTTCACTCACCTGACCAGAGAGATCACCTTCACTCACTCACCTGACCAGAGAGATCACCTCCACTCACCTGACCAGAGAGATCACCTTCCCTCACTCACCTGACCAGAGAGATCACCTTCCCTCACTCACCTGACCAGAGAGATCACCTCCACTCACTCACCTGACCAGAGAGATCACCTTCACTCACCTGACCAAAGAGATCACCTTCCCTCACTCACCTGACCAGAGAGATCACCTTCACTCACCTGACCAGAGAGATCACCTTCCCTCACCTGACCAGAGAGATCACCTCCACTCAACTGACCAGAGAGATCACCTTCCCTCACCTGACCAGAGAGATCACCTTCCTTCACTCACCTGACCAGAGAGATCACCTTCACTCACTCACCTGACCAGAGAGATCACCTCCACTCACCTGACCAGAGAGATCACCTTCCCTCACTCACCTTCCCTCACTCACCTGACCAGAGAGATCACCTCCACTCACCTGACCAGAGAGATCACCTTCCCTCACTCACCTGACCAGAGAGATCACCTCCACTCACCTGACCAGAGAGATCACCTCCACTCACTCACCTGACCAGAGAGATCACCTTCACTCACCTGACCAAAGAGATCACCTTCCCTCACTCACCTGACCAGAGAGATCACCTTCACTCACTCACCTGACCAGAGAGATCACCTTCCCTCACTCACCTGACCAGAGAGATCACCTCCACTCACCTGACCAGAGAGATCACCTCCACTCACCTGACCACAGAGATCACCTTCCCTCACTCACCTGACCAGAGAGATCACCTCCACTCACCTGACCAGAGAGATCACCTTCACTCACCTGACCAGAGAGATCACCTTCCCTCACTCACCTGACCAGAGAGATCACCTTCCAACACTCACCTGACCAGAGAGATCACCTTCCCTCACTCACCTGACCAGAGAGATCACCTTCCCTCACTCACCTGTTTCGGGGTGGTCAGTTTGTGGATCATGGACACCCGGTCGGACACACACTTGCTGACGTCCACCGTGCGGGCCTGGATTCTCTGCGGTCCACTGGCCCCGACGTCTGACTTGTTGGCCGTCAGTGCTGTGGAGGGACATGTTCTTTTCTCACAGCTGGGACAGTTTTTTTCTAATTGTCTTTTTTTGTGTGTTATTGCAACATGTGAGGCATCGTGGTGACATGTGTGTTATTGTGATGTGTGAGGCATCGTGGTGACATGTGTGTTATTGTGATGTGTGAGGCATCGTGGTGACATGTGTGTTATTGTGATGTGTGAGGCATCGTGGTGACATGTGTGTTATTGTGATGTGTGTTATTGTGATGTGTGTTATTGTGATGTGTGTTATTGCAACATGTGAGGCATCGTGGTGACATGTGTGTTATTGCAACATGTGAGGCATCGTGGTGACATGTGTGTTATTGCAACATGTGAGGCATCGTGGTGACATAAGGCGCTCGTCAAAATAATGAAATCGAAGAAAAGCATTTTTTCCTCCAGTTAGTCAATTTTTATTGAATTTTTGTTTTTTGGCTCAACTACTTTTTTTCCATATAAAACACATTCGCGTGTGAATTTTACAGAAAAATGTTGTATAATGGCACAAAATACGCAAATGTTCCGTTTCCGGGGACTCTCAAGCTATACATGTTAGCTTACTTTGGCGGCCATTTTCTCGCTGATCATGCTACCCCCACCTCCTTCAATGGCAAAAATCTCGACATCTAGTCAAGATAAAAGGGTATTTTTTTCATAAAAAGCTAGACAAATGAATAAGCTTTCAGATGATACCAATGACTTGACATGCCCAAAAATTGACTAGTGTCTGATTCAACGTGGGTCTCATAGTCCTTGGAACCTTGTTTACCTGTCTTCCCTTGCTTTGACCTTGACCTTGGGCTGGCTGGCTGGATGGAGTCGAAGGGCTTCCTGGAACTGTCGTTGGGGAATCTGGCAAATCATGGAAAAACACACAAAATGAGAACCAAAAACACCCAACAAATCAGAATATAAATCAGGGCACAATTTATCACAGTATATGAAATGTGTTGACCGATACATAAAGGTGGACAATTTATCACAGTATATGAAATGTGTTGACCGATACATAAAGGTGGACAATTTATCACAGTATATGAAATGTGTTGACCGATACATAAAGGTGGTAACGCCTACACTGGACTGAGCCAACCACTTCCAATAGCTACAAGAACGTGGGCTCGTATAGAAGAAGTGAGGGAAAGATTTCATGGAACTTTTGGTAGAGTGCTCAGAGAGTTGGTCAAAGTAATTTCATTTTCGTAAGTAAAGAAGAAATTTATTTTAGTAAGTAACGAAGAATATCATTAAAAAATTTGTACACATTTATGTCAACGGCTCTGAAAACCCCCCCAAAGAAATGTGCAAAAGATTATCCTGAGATTTCATTAAAAATGGATCTAGAATTTCATATCTATCACAAAAAAAGGTTTTATGAAATAGGTCAAAACAAACCAATTCTAAAACTTCATTTTGAAAGAATTTTGCTCAAGTACTCTTCAAAAAACATTTTTATTTTGAATACATAAAAAAGACAAATTTTTAGGTACAAAGTAAAGAGTTTCGTAACACACATACAAAGTGTATCAAATAAAAAAATTTAATTTTACGTGTCTACATGTCAGTAAACAAAAAACAAAGACTCAGCAAAATGTCCAATCTGTTTGATAAAAGAGCAGAATCAGAGAACTCAACAAAAACATGAGGATGCCAAGAAGGAAAAGAAAATGAATGAACAAACTTCAGCAGTTCCAGTTTTTCGTGAATCTAAAAGAAGACAAAACAAGTGGAATTGAGAAATACACATGGCACTGACCTGATCCAATCGTAGCTGTCGTGCCACGTGTCGCCTTTGGCCAGGGGGTAGCTCATGTCTCGCGGCAGAGGACAGATGCCCTGGGCGGTCAGGCCCTGTCTCTTGGCTTCAACCATCGTCAGCCCTGTCAAACATCACGGACTAAAACATCCAATACACAAATTAACAATTTTGTGACAAATTCGAGCTATCTCAGACTTCTTTCCTTGCACAATCAGAAAGCTAGGGAACTATTTATTTACTCAAAAAACTATCAAGTCAACTTTCTACATGGAAAAGGATGGAGTGGTGGTAGATGATGGAGTGGTGGTAGATGATGGAGTGTGTGGTAGATGATGGAGTGTGTGGTAGATGATGTGATGGTAGATGATGGAGTGGTGGTAGATGATGGAGTGTGTGGTAGATGATGGAGTGGTGGTAGATGATGGAGTGGTGGTAGATGATGGAGTGTGTGGTAGATGATGGAGTGGTGGTAGATGATGGAGTGCTGGTAGATGATGGAGTGCTGGTAGATGATGGAGTGTGTGGTAGATGATGGAGTGGTGGTAGATGATGGAGTGCAGGTTGATGATCAGCTGTTTTGTATTTGCACGTTAGTCCAAGGACTCCCATTTGTCAGCATTACAAACTGGTATGTGGTAAAGGAAAAACAAAATCTCATTGTAAACTAAAAAACCTCTAAAACGACAACATCTCGAACCTGGGCCATACAAGGTAACATCCCATACCTGGGTGGTACAACATCCCATACCTGGGTGGTACAACATCCCATACCTGGGTCATACAACATCCCATACCTGGGTCGTACAACATCCCATATCTGGGTCATACAACATCCCATACCTGGGTCGTACAACGTATCACTGGTGAAGACATTTTTGACCATCATGTTGGCACAGAGGCGCACGGACTTGACGTACAGGAAGCGCCGGTTGAGGTAGGTGGACAGCACGTGCTGGAGGTCCAGGCACAGAAGCGTCCAGCGAGTGACCATCGGAGCCGGCCCGCTCTGGTCTGGGGGGACAAGGAAAAGAAACAAAACCAGGAGAAAAAAATGAGCGTTTTGTTTCTCGGCACTGTTCTACAACTGTTCTACACACATTTACAAAAAACACTTGACTTCTTTAAAATGTATAGCAATTACAATAGGAGCTAAATCAAAAATCCAGATTCCTTGAGGGTTTATCTGCCAATTATGCCCTTAAAAACTTCTCCAGACAAAGGCATGACAAATTTGAAGATAACAACAAGCAATGTGAGAGTGTCTTACTGAAACAAAGACACAAATACTTGAACAAAAAGACACAAATACATATATGTGGACAAAAAGACACAAATACTTGGATAAAAAGATATAAATACTTATATATGGACAAAAGACACAAATACTTGGATAAAAAGATATAAATACTTATATATGGACAAAAAACACAAATACTTGGATAAAAAGATATAAATACTTATATATGGACAAAAGACACAAATACTTGGATAAAAAGATATAAATACTTATATATGGACAAAAGACACATATACATATGTGGACAAAAGATACTTAAATATGGACAAAAAGACAAATATACGTATATATACGGAGCGCAGCTGCCAGGAATTTCCCCATGAATCAATCAAAACGGCGCTTTAAACAACACTTGGCAAGTGGTTTTGTTTCTTCAAACAGACCTCTAACTATCAAATTTTCCAGATTAAAGCATTCAAGATTAAATGTAGATAACAGGGATACGCTGGGCTTTCGCAAAATTTTTGTTACAACTGTGAACAACAGAGTGATTTATTGACACGAAAGGGTACAAACGCCCATGTGTATGAGACATGTAAGGAGAATCTACACACAGCAACAAACAGCAGAGGAGTATTGTAACTGACCTCTTACAGTCAAGTATTGTAACTGTCCTCTTACAGTCGAGTATTGTAACCGACCTCTTACAGACAAGTATTGTAACTGACCTCTTACAGACAAGTATTGTAACTGACCTCTTACAGTTAAGTATTGTAACTGTCCTCTTACAGACAAGTATTGTAACTGTCCTCTTACAGTCAAGTATTGTAACCGACCTCTTACAGTCAAGTATTGTAACTGTCCTCTTACAGACGAGTATTGTAACTGACCTCTTACAGACAAGTATTGCAACTGACCTCTCGCAGCGTCTGCAGCGTACGCTGGCACTGGCCCGGGTGCGGGGCTGCACACATAGGGGAACTGCAGCCACGTCGACGTGGACTTGAAAGCTTTGAACAGACTGGAGAAGGACACTCTGATGACCAGACTGTCAGCAGTTGCCACATCTAGATGAACAACGAAGTGTTTGGAGGGGACGGGCCGGAACAGCAGATAGAAGTAGCGGCCGGTGAGGCCCAGAGACTGGGTGTTTGTCTTGGGCAGCTGGACGTAGTTGCCGGCCGGAATGCTGCCGGAGATTTTGTACACCGTCCCCTTGACTGTCTTGTCCTGACATTTGCAACAAGAAATGAGCATGAGAGAACAACTTTTTTTTTTCATACACAAAAATTTTTTAGACAAAAGTTTAGAAAATCTCCTCTAATGTATACATGTAAGGCAAATTTCTCAAAGACATTCACGTCAGCTCAAAAGCTTATATATATCATGAATTCTAAACTACTCGTTAATTAAAAGTACATTAATACAGGAGCCCGTGAACACTAACTATGGCTCTCAATTTTAAAAAGGCCTGCACAATACGATTCATTTCAATGTTCCTGACTTTCTAATATTAAACAATTGAAATGTAATGCTTAAAGGGAAGAAAGTAACTCCCATAAATGAGAGATCGTTGAGTAAAGTGCGGAATGGAATCCCACCATCAAGGATGACACTTCGCCTTCCTTCGTGGCTTTCTTCCATGCTGGCAAATTGAAGTGCTTGAAAACATTGACGAATGGGCTTTGCCATACTGAAAGATGAAAAAGAAAAAACAATCAGTATATGGGTTAACAATAGGAATATTTACATAATGTATAGATATCTAAGAATGGAAGCAAAGGCTAGTTGAAAACAAACATGAGGCAGCGTGGTAAATCAGGCGCTCGTCAAAATAATCAAAGTGAAAGGACTGGCATTTTTCCACACATTTGTGAATTTTTATCGAATTTCCATTTTTTGGCTCAACCCTTGTCAGGCCCATTCAAAAAACACATTTCTGTGTGTATTTTACTGAAAAATGCTGATTAATTAAGGCACAATGTAAATCTTCAGTTTCCACGGACTCTTACGCTTGGTACACCGAAAGGAACATCAGTAAAAAAACCAGCAGGTCAGTAGGGCCACTATCTCGAAAGCTGTGAACAGGCTCACATTATAGGCCTACTAGGCCTCTACTGTCTCTATGATAAAAATGGAATTGAAATAAAAGCAGCACAAAACTGTCAACATTTGGAAGTTGGGAGTCAAATTGTCATTTTGCTCCAAACAGTTGAATTACTTCGACAAGCCTCCAGGAATTCATGTCACGAAGGTAAATGAGCTCAGAAGAACCAAAGACAAAATCATTCAACTTCCCAAGTAAAATTATTAAAAACTAACAGTGAGTTACTAACTAGACTAACTAGAGTCACAAGCGATTAAACGTAGAAAGACGCATTTTTAGGTAAGGCGCCCATCTTGTTTGATGTCAGACCAGGATACCCCTCCGATCACGTGACTACATCTAAATATAGCCAACCGCATGGCACCAAAGATGGAAGTGTCTATGTAAATTATGCTTTAAAATCTACATCTCTCTCTCGGAAGTTCTGATGGCTGAATAGACAGTGTGTCTGCGTTTGAAGTCGTGCAATGATTTTTGGAGCGGTTCGATCCCGGTCCCGGACAGTTTTGTTTTTTTTCTCTTCTCCTCTTCCCGACTGACCAACAGTCGCATAATTTGGCATAAATTATAGGCCTAATTTATTTGTAAAGTTGCTTTGAAGTTGTTTAAAAAAAAAAAATATTAGTGATTAAAAATGCAGGAGAGGGGGGGTGGGGGAGGGGGGTTGATCTAGATCTAGATATATCTAGATATATCTAGATTTAGATATCTAAATCTAGACTCTAGATTAGATCTAATCCTCCTGCGTCTTTACGGCAATTTTCGTGCGGTCTTCCATCATGTTCAAGTAGGCCTACTAGATCTATAGATCTATCTAGATCTTGGAAATCCGAAATGTTACCGAAAACACGTCGTTCCATGTGGGTATCCCAGGAAGTGATGACATCACAGTACTTAAATTAGCAGCCAATCAGAAAGATGCGCCTTTTCTACATTTAACTTTAACGGCATGTACTAGAGTCTAGACATCTAGATCTAGAGTCTAGATCTAGCTAGATCTAGATCTAGATTTATTCTAGATCTCTAGACCTAACTAAACTACAGCACTAGAGTCGAGATCTTTACATCTACATCTAGAACCTAGATCTAGATCTAAGATCTAAATCTAGATCTAGATTCTAGATCTACACTAGATCTAGAGTAGAGTCTATAGAGTACAGAGTACAGTGCCAAGCGGAAAGTGAAAGTAAGTTGGTTGGGTTGGTTGAATTCTTTACACTCTGAAATCGTGTATTGTTTGGCATTATTTTGGAGGTTTTATAGGGGAAAACAATAGAATACAAAGTGTACAAACTCACAGTTATCCATAATGTCTTTCTTTGCATGAAACAGCGATTAAAGTAAGTCTGACTTCCTAGGCATACGTTTAGACTTGTCAAACCTTCGCGTTTACCGCCATCTTGTTGCATCCAGGAAATGGCAACAGTAACTTCCGCTGTGGATGAGCCAATCAAAACAGTTAGAAAACAGCTGCGACTGTAGCGCGACACATCGGGACAGAGATCCCCGCTCGGCCCAGTGTGTCAACTGTGACGTTGTCAGCTGGTGTGGTGTTGTGAAAGGTTGAAAAACAAACAACCATCTCATTCTTTTCTGATTAGGCCCACCGTGACGTGTAAAACCTTATTGACGTTGTGGAAGTGTCTCTTTCTGGGCTATCTTTTTACCAACGTGAGTATTTCTTAGAATCTAATAGGCATAGGTCTAGAAAATCTAATCTAGATTCTAGATCTAGATCTACATCTAGTAGAATAGCTTCCTTTTTGAGACTTTGCTTGTTGTTGTGTGTGCTATCTTTGTGCTTGTGAGACATGTCATTTGTTGGTAGATTCTAGATATACCAATATCTAGATGTAGATCTAGATCTAGATGTAGATCTAGATCTAGATGTAGATCTAGATCTAGATGTAGATCTAGATCTATCTAGATTCTAGATATCTAGATCTAGATGTAGATCTAGATCTAGACAAGATTGTAGATCTAGATCTAGATTTATATTATAGGCCTAGATCTAGAATCTAGATCTAGAATCTAGATCTAGATCTAGATCTAGATTCTAGTAGACATTAGTAATCTATGATCTAGGGCCTTTTTCTAGATAAATCTAGATCTAGATCTAGAATCTAGATCTAGATCTAGATCTAGATATATATCAAGATCTAGAAATCTAGATCTAGATCTAGATCTAGATTCTATATATATATACGGCGAAAGTCGTGAAAAGATACGATACCAGTCCTAATGGGAAGGGTGTCCCGCGCACTCATTTAGATCTAGACTCTAGATCTAGATCTAGATCTAGATAAAACTTTTTATGTCATTTGTGATGATGCTGTTGCGGCGCCGTGTAAAGCACTCCCCCCCCCCCCCCCCCCCCACCCGAAAAAAGAAAAAAAAAAGAATTCATGCATGTGGAAAGAGTAGCATGGCTTTAAGTAATTTTCCACTTGTCACAGTGACACAGTGTTGGTACCCAGAAAGGCGACAAAAAAGAAAATGAAACATGGAAAGGACGTCATGCGCCTATCTGGTCTGGCATGCATCTGGAAGTCTCGGGTCTTCATCATGGCGGAATATACAAACTTGCAGGGCCCGTAGATGGTAAGGGTTGTAGGCCTGCAAGTTGGATCAAAATCAAATTAACCCTGAAAATGAGTCTGAAGAGACACGATCAATCCGATGTCTTTTCGTGTCTTTTCGCGTCTTTTCTCCTGTCTTTTCTTCGCATTTTAGTATGACCCCTTAAATTAGTATGACTTTTGAAAAGTTGTGATCGATGTCAATTTTATTAAAAATATAATATTAAAGAAAAGAATTGAGAATTTTGTTTTAGTCTCGATAAAAATGCAAGTTGTGTTGGTAATTTTCAGGGTCAATAATAATGTGCATTATAATGTTTGACACTAGATCTAGTCTAGCTTTCATTTTTTATATCAATTAATTAGCTTCTAAGATATTTCTGGGGGAAAATATTTTAAAACCCTGTGAGAATGGCTGTGTCTTATCAATTTTTGGACCACCAAGGGATCATCAAAGTGCACAATTTGCCTGTGGGACCTCATCCTAGATTTTTAGAGAGCAGGAAAGAAGTTGAAAGAAGATGATTTTAAGAAGAAAATTTTCCGTAGCATCCAGATTCAAACCCTGGACCTATTGAATGAGAACCAAACACCGTAATCTGTCGACCATGAGAGCCCCCTTACTTGAGAATGAAAATGACCAACGTTATTGAAAAAAGTACTAAATTTCTCTAACACGAGCTATAATATATAAGACATTTAAATTTATATATCCATAGGCCCTATTGATTATTGAAGCTCGATTGATGCGTACGAGTATGATGAGGTAGTTTGATTTTTTTTTCTCTCATTTCCAAGATGTCTCATAAGTCGGACTGCAGTGTAGTTGACCTTGGTTCAAATACTCAGAACAAGTTATTTCTTGGGCTTGGCTTATTTGGGGATTTGGTCCCAATTTTCAATTATATTGACTATTCTGGCTTGAAAATGCTGTTACCAATTTCAATATTTTTATCTTTCCCGTCCTGTGAACTGAATTGATGAAGGTTCTCTTTCACTCATTCATCGCTTGACAAAGGAAAGATTTTCAGCCGCAACTCAAGACGTTAACATCTGAGAGGCAACAATTTTATGAATCTTTTATGCCATAATTCATTTGTGTGTGCTACAGTGCTCTTTGATTTTGCGTACACGACGTGTGTAACTAATGTGTATCATGTGCACGGCTCCGATCTCAAGAAGTAGCTGTATTTTTTAGTGTCTTTTCAAACTTTTATAATTTTATTGAATACCTCGTACAATCAAGCAGTGTTTTGTGAAAGAAAAAAGTGTTCTTTTAAAGGGGGGTCTTTAATAATTGAATACCTCGTAAATCAAGCGGTGTTTTGCCACCAGAAGAATAATGTGTTTTTAAGTTGGTCTTTTAGTAAATAATTGAATGCCTCTTACAATCAACCAATGTGCTGCGACCAAACAGAAGAAAGTGTGATTTTAAGGAGGTCTTTAGTTAAATAACTTGGTACAATTCAGCATTGTTTGGTACAATTCAGCCTTGTTTGCTTCCAGAAGGTGTGTGTATTTAAGCGGGCCTTTAATAGATGAATACAACCTCGTCCAATCAGGCAATGTGTTGTCGCCAGAAGGTATCGCATATTAATTGAATACCTTGTACAATAACACAGTGTATTGTGACTGGAGGATGTTTTAATGTGTGTGTTTTATTTATTTACATGCACACACACACACACACACACATTTTATGTGTTGCAACCAGAGGGTATGCATATTTAATAAGCGTATATTTCATATAAAAGGGACTACCTGGTCCAATGAGGCAGTGTGCAGCGGCCGGGG